AATTGACATCTAGCAATATGTCACAGCAATACATGTGACGGAAAATGTCTCGTGGCATGACAAAATCAAACTTATTCGTTTACCGTGAAATCATAATCACTTTATCAATATAATCGATTCGATTACGAGATATGAAGTCCATCAATCTCAATTATTAATCATATCTTTCATTTCATTATTAAGTCAATGTAAGTCAAAAATTCTTTTAGACTTATGAGTACACATTGATCAAGAATTTCGTTATCAACTTAATCGAATGAAATTCAAATCATAATCTCTTTTTATCGAAAGTGAAGAATCCTTTATTGGTCATTCACAATCTTGATATACTCGAACGATATCGTATTAGCAATTTTTGGCAGAGTAACATCTAACATCATCAAATATAACTGTTCACATATAAAGCACAATGATGACTTTGAATCAAAGTATCAATTTCAATACCGAACGTTAAAGATTAACCACTGATACTCGAATAGTTATCCATGTGGAATCCCTCCGTCAATCTCAAATGTTTTGTTCTATTCATTTAAATGTCACCGTACTTTAGCTTTTAAGATTTGCTACTTATTTCACAAGTAAAAAAAGTCACATGTGATAGTCTATTCATAATAACAATATACATATCTCATTAATACTCACGATCACAGATGATTTAAAATTCAGTCATATATAATTTGTATTTCATAATCACAACTTCTTGTGATTAACAATTTACCAAAATTTAAATCTACGAACTCTATTATTTAATTTGTTAGAATATTCAATTAAATAATAGATCCACTATAAATAAAATGCATCAACACTTACAATTTCCTCTAAAAAATCAGTCCGGAATTATAAGCTTTTTTAAAAATTAATTTTTAAACATTCTTTAAGAACGCCCTTAGTCTTGTTTTCAGTTGGTTTAATACAATGGATTGAACTACAAATCATTACAAATTGCGTGTCAACTGTAGAGAAGGATCAACACATGTTAGGTTTACCATTGACAGTATTTGGTGATCAAGTTAGTTTGGTCTTTAAATTTGTCCATGACTCATTCTTTAGATACTAACAAACAAAAATTTTATTACAAGGTATGTAATTGAACTCTTTGTGGGTATCAGTATAACAGCTACCTAATGAGGCACATCCCGCGATTTATCTCTTCCATGATACCAGCTTAGATTAAGTGAGTTTGTTATTTTTAAAAATATTTAAATATTAATTTCAATAAAAAATCATTCGAACCTTACGCTAGAAAAATTATTACCTCTTCTCCAATCGCTCGAAAGGTTAAAGTATTATGTCTGCCCGTGTAAACCAACCTTCGAATTGAATTTTTTTAAAAAATCGACCATTAAAAGCATAAGAATGTTAAAACGTTCTTCTTCTTTCACATGATTCGAAATCAGAGGATGAAATCATAAATTGCTTTAACATTTTTAAAAAAAATTAATCTGAAAGTTGGATGTGATTTTAATGTCAACGTTGAAATTTTCTTGACACGAAAAAGGTTACGGATTCGAAACTTCACTTTTAAAGGTTGAGGACATATAACAACACAACTGGAAGGTTGGGAACCAAACTTTGTTAAAAATAAAAATATCAATATCATTAAGTCCATGTTTAGTTCAATTACAAAAGTTAACTAAAAATTTAAATCAAAGTTCTCAATTAATTTTAATACATTTTATTAATTTTTTTTAATCAAAATCTATTAAAAATCTAATTTTAATCTAATCCGAACATGGGCTAAATGGGCATCTCAATTGGAGTTTGTGGTTATTTGATTCAATAATATTAATTTATATTAAAAATTAAGGGCGTATATAATATTTCTAGCATCTATATCCAAACAGGTTTGACAAATTTTGCCCATATTCCGGATTAGGGTTTGTCTCTTCCCCAATCGACCCCCCATTGATCATTCGCTACCAAGCACCTCCTCCTTTATGCCCCAAACCAAACAGGTAAAATTTATACTTGTCCTTTTTCATTTTGTCTCTGTAGTACTCTGTTACACAATGCCGTTCTATACTGTATTTTTGTTCTAATCAACTTAAAATCTTTGATTCAATGTTAGAAATTTCTTGACCAAATTGTTTGATAGTTTTTTTGCTTTCTGAATTGGCAATAATCATAAAAACCCGTTTGAATTCTAATTCTTTTGTTTTGTGGTTTATTTTGATGTTGGCATAAAGATTAAATTTTTAAGTTGGTAAACCACGCAGTTGAGTTTAATCATTATATAGTAGAACTCAGCGGGGGTTTTTTTTTTCCAATTTTGTGAATATTTACGGTTTATTTCCAGATTATATTTCTTTGGGACTACAAGGGAACTCATTCTTTTCGCAAGATTTTAACAAGGATTGTTATCAGTTGTAGCGAAGAAAAAAACTTGACACAAGTTGAAATACGAAGAAATTGATTTGTGAATGTTTACAAGTTATCTAGACTAGATAACTTTGGCACTACAACGAAACTCATTCTTTTCGCAAGCTTTTGACGAGGATTGTTATAAATTGTAGCGAAGAAAAAACTTGATACAAGTTGAAATACGAAGAAATGGTTTTGTTTTTGTCGTTATGAGAATAAATTTGTTACATTCGTAGAAACGGCTCGTGCATTTTAATTTTGGAGGAGCACTTTATTATCTGTAACTTTTTGGTCAACTAGAGCTAAGATGAATAGCATGGAATGCCTTTTTTTGGTCTTAGTAGCGAGAATGATAGTGAAGTCACTATAGAGGATCATAATGTCCCAAAGAATGAGAGATTTAAATAATGTTCTCGTCATTGATTATGTTTATTGTTTAATTTTGATCTATGTAATAAGCTTTTATATGTAAAAACACAAATGAAATACGACTCCTTATCTAGAGTTAAATTTGGCAATTTATTGCATATCATTGTTGTTAATAAATTATCAGTTGTGCTGTTGAGATAGAACCAGAGTTTTTTCTTATAACCTGAGAGCCAGATAATCATGAAGTCATATGTATTTTCCTTTTTTACAGATAGATGGCTTGTATTTATCTTGGTGTTTAGAATAGAGTAAAATGAGTAGCCGAAACCTGGCAAGCAGTCATGGTTCGAGAACATACTGGACACCAACAATGGAAAGATATTTTATTGATCTCATGTTAGAGCATATTCATAGAGGGAATAGAACTGGACATACCTTTAACAAGCAAGCATGGACTGATATGCTGGCTGTCTTTAATGCAAAATTTGGATCTCAATATGACAAAGATGTGTTGAAAAGCCGCTACACAAATTTGTGGAAGCAATTCAATGTTATCAAGAATATCCTTGGACAGAGTGGGTTTTCTTGGGATGAAACTAGACAAATGGTGGTGGCTGATGACTACTTGTGGGATGCATATATCAAGGTTTATTATTATTACCGTATCTGCTATATCTCAATGTATAATGTTGTTACTGATTGACATAAAATTGCATGCAGATACATCCAGAAGTGCGGCCGTACAAGACCAAAGCAATACTCAACTTTGATGACATGTGCTTGATATATGGGTATACAGTTGCTGATGGAAGGTACAGCCGTTCAAGCCATGATTTGGATGTTGAAGACGAAAATCTTCAAGTGGCAATCTTTGGTATGTTTGCCTTTTCTTGCTGTAGAACTTCATTAAATTTAGGATGCTTCAATTCATACACTAGTTGGTTAATTTGAATCCTCAATTTGGAAGGGTTGGCTTGGCTGTTGGAGCTTTTCGTGTGACCATAGTTGCTTTACTGATGAGGACAAAAGTTTTAAAACAGTGCATGTTCTGCCCTATATTTTGGTTTATGACATTTGTTAGGTTATCATTTTTTGTTCTTCCACAACTTGTGGTTTAAAATTCACAGGAATACTCTTTTTAATTCTGGTAATGTGATATAACTGTTGTCGCCACTGAGGTTTACTTTTGAGTTGCTTATAAATCATACCGTGAATCCAAGCATGGAGAGAGAGAGAGAAATTAAATTTATCTATCCCCTGATGATTAGGATTCTGAGTTTTTTTGGTAGTGTGCGATTATTTCTCATGAAAAAGCTTAAAGAATAAACCCTTTCTTGACAGGTAATGGAAGCAGTGGTATGGCCCCTTCAAGTAGTTCAAGGACAGAGTGGACACCAGATATGGACGATTATTTTATTAAATTGATGCTGAACCAACAAGAAAGAGGAAATAAGCATGACAACACCTTCACAAAACAAGCGTGGACGGATATGCTCGTGTTGTTTAATGCAAAATTTAGTTCCGATTATAGCAAAAGAGTATTAAGACACCGTTACAAAAAATTATGGAAGTACTGTAGTGATTTAACGACTTTGCTGAAACAGAAAGGTTTTTGCTGGGATGAGAAAGAGCAAATGGTGATAGCTAATGACGATGTTTGGGATGCCTATATTAAGGTATACCACTTAATCTTGAATGCAGCATTTATTTGCTTATTGTTCAAGGAGGCTTACATGACATATGTAGGCACATCCACATGCTCGATCTTATAGAACCAAAAACTTTCCGAACTATAACAATTTGCGACTGATTATCGGGGACATAGTCGGCGAGGAAAGCCAGAGTGATTCCCATCAGGACAAATACATTAAAAATGAGGCCATTGCTGCAAATGCTGGTACGTTCAATTTCTCAATGAGGAAATATTTTGCTCTGAGTTGGTTCTTTTTAGTACAATACACATTGTTTTGTTTGTAGTTTCTTATGTGTCAAGCTCTGAATCAGTAGGTTTGGGAGGGAAAAAAAAAATTGACGGTGTTAAACCTTGAAATTTTGAGTTTTTAGAATCTTCATGACTAATTATGATGATTAGATGTGCATGATAAGAGATATTAACTAAAGTATTTTTGTTTGAACAATACTAAGTGCCTGTTTGGCTATGCATAAAACTTTACGTGCAAGTAACTAAGTTTTAGAATAAATAATTATTTTTGTTTGTTATGAGTTATTTTAAAGTAATACCTAACTTACTCTCAAAGTAACTTCTGTTAAAAATTAATCTATTCGAACATCTTCAGATACAAAAAATTGCTTAAAAGTAAGCTTAGTCCAACATGCTCTAGTATTATGTGGGACAAACCATCCCGTGGACAAGGTAGTCAACGTACTATACTAATACTATATGGGTATCCCAATTGTCAAGCAGTCAACTATGTCACACTAACCATCAATAAGTTTTGGATCTAGATTTAGTCATTACAGCAGCAAAGAGATTTGGATCCATCAATGGCAAAAGAGATAGACCTTGACATGGAAAATTTTAAGGCTATATCTTATACCTACTTTAATCCTTTGATCTTCACTGTATTATCTTTCGAATTTTTTTTTTTTAAATTGTGTTTTATTAAAGAAGTTCAAGACCATATCCTTTACCATGTTTTGTCTATCATTTACTTTTTATCTAAGTGTGCCTCTCATTTTGTTCTTATGTGTGTCTGTCTTTTTCTCTTTTTCGGGAGCCAATATCCATTGGTTGAATCGTAACATTGCTTAGTCACTCCTAATTGTTTTTCTATAAGTTCATTTAGAAAGTATGAGTACTTAGTTTTTGGAATTCTTTGATTTTTTTGAATTCTTTAGTTTAACTATTGTTCATCGTCAATTTCCAAATTTGCAGGCAGTGTGCGCTCAAGAACATATTGGACGCCACCAATGGACCGTTTTTTCATTGACTTAATGCTTGAGCAAGTGCGTAGAGGGAATCGAATTGGACAGTCGTTCATAACCCAAGCTTGGAATGACATGGTTGCATCATTCAATGAAAACTTTAGATCTCAGCATGACAAGGAAATTTTGAAAAATAGATACAAACATTTTAAAAAGCAATATAATGATGTCAAGATCCTTCTAGAGCATAGTGGTTTTTCATGGGATGAGGGCCGAGAAATGTTGACAGCTGAAGATTGTGTTTGGGATGCTTATATTAAGGTTATGCTTTTTTTACCCGTCAGTATTTCTATTTTTCAGTTGATTTCTATTTCTCAAGAATAATTCGTGCAGGCACATCCTGATGCTCGATCATATAGAGTTAAAACAGTACCATGTTATCACAAATTATGTGTCATATACGGACAAGATAAGCTTGAAGGAGTATACAGCAGTTTGGCCGGCAGCTTAGCTCCAACTACTGAAACTCCTGGTATGATTGGAGTTATGTTTCCTTTCTAACTTTTTACATGCAAGATTGTTAAAATGCACTATGCAAAGAGATTATTTTTTATGGGGTTCTGTCAACTTAAATTAAAATGTTTGGCCGTAATATAAGCCTTTTTTCTATGTTTCTCTTGAAAAAAAATTGTTGGAGCTGTTTCTGAAAATAGAAAACCTGAATACATAGGGTTATATAGTGGTAGACTCATCCCTGAAGCAGTTTTCGTTGCGTTCATTTCTTTGTTTCCCATAAAATTTTAATATTAACTGGTAAAAAATTTCGCTATTTGGTAGGTGATGGGAAGGATAAAGATGCCTCTCCTAGTATAGATGTAATTGAAGGTTGGACCATGTCGATGGAAAGCTATCTTATTGACCTTATGCTGGAGCAGGTGCACCAAGGTAATAAAGTTGGTAGTACATTTAGTGAGCAAGCTTGGGCACACATGACCTCGATGTTTAAAGAAAAATTTGGCGTACAATACGAGCAACATATTCTAGAAGATCATTGTCTCATCTTGATGAAACAATACAATGAAATCAGCAGCCTCCTCAATCAAAATGGATTTTCTTGGAATGAAACCCTACAAATGATTGTAGCTGATAATGATGCGTGGGAATTGTATAAAAAGGTACGAGGTTATTTTTCCGGAGTGAAAAGTGTTACTATATTGCTTAAAAGCGATATAATATCACTTTTCTCCATTTCATCTGAGCACTTATATCTTGTTAAATGCCAACCCATTTTCATTCTTCATTTGCAGGTGAACCCGGGCTTAATTTCTTATAGAGATAAAATCCTACCACAGTACAATGATTTGGGTATTATTTTTGGACCAACTGAAACAGTGGAAGGAGAATTGAGCTATGAGGATGTTAAAATAGAATTTGATCAAGATCCTACTAATGCAAGCACTGATAAATATTCTGGAGATCTTCCAACAACAGTTCTCGATTTAGAGACGTGCGATCAAGCAAAAAAGCGACCAACAGAAGCATATACAGGTTTCGAACGTTGTAGCAAAGTGCAAAAAAGTGGCAAAGAAGAAATGCAAGGGACTATTACCAACATCACGGGTGTAGTTGCAAATTTGGTAAATAAGGAAGCTGGTAAAAACTATACTTCCATAGAGAGTGCCATCGAGGCACTTCAAGCTATACCAGACATCGATGATGAGCTTTTATTGGACGGTTGTGATTTATTGGAGGATGAGAGGAAAGCAAAGACATTTTTGGCGTTGGATGTTAACCTCAGGAAAAAGTGGTTGTTAAGGAAGCTCCGATGCTCATAACTTTTCGATCTTCTACAATGTGACGTTACCATTACTCGTTTTTGCTGGTCCTGTGACTGGTTTTTCAGTTCAGAAAACTGAATGGCGATTTGATGTAAATATTTGCTTATAATTGTTTCTTTATGATGAATTTTTCGAAATTACCTTCTTACCGTGGTCACAGAGAAATGTCTTCTTACGAGTCCTGTTAACGTCCACATAGTGCACTTAAGAACATTTGTCTATTTCAAGAGGAAGGATTACTGGTTTTTTCAGTCGAGAAAACTGAAATGACACAACGATGTTAATGTATATGTGCATATAATTGTTTATTAAGCATGTCTTTGGCACCCATTTTTGGTGTATTATAAATTTTGGAATAGTGATCGATAGAAGAATGTGTGGTTGAAAAGTAATGAAAAGTCTTAAATTTGTATGTTATATTATTTTATTTGGAAAATGTGTAATTATAATTAAAAAAGAGAAATTTTAAAAAAAAATTAATGGGTGCCAAACACAGTTGTTTCGAAAAAGGTTGTCAAAGGAGCAAGTCTGAAAGATTGAAAAATAGAACATTTTACAACATTCAGACGTGTTACAGATTTTGATGTTGTCGTAGAGTTAAAGGATATGGCACTGGTGACATCCAATCCACACTGTGACTCCACCGCTAGACCACAAAACCAAATAAAAACTAAGATTGTTGATGGGTTTGATTGAAATTACTAGAAATCGGACCAGAAGTAGAATTAGAAATGGGTTTTTGGAAGGAGCCTTTTGCCAGTAGTACTAGCATTGGAAGAATTGGCCATCTCATAAGCAGAGCAAATCATAAAATCATTTTGTGAGGTAGTAATCACGAGTTGGCAAAAATTAAATAATTGTCTTGCTTAAAATGTCAAGCTCGATTACTATTTTCTTCTATTATGATCGAGGAAATATAGCAATCCAGGTACGCGGTAACGCCGAACCCTTTTAACACAAAAAAATGTAATACAACCGATATTTCATCAGACCAAGTACATTTGGCTATAATATTTGTTGAACAAGAACTACTCTTAAATCTCTCATGTAGAACTTAACATCTTGACTCGATAGTGCATAGAAAACAATGCAGACATACAAAACTGGAATTCATCTTTGAAAAGTCACAATCAGGGACTTCAGTTACCATACAACAAACCCATTTCAAAACATGATCCCATCAAAATCGACTTCTGATGCTAATTTCTCCATATCATTTAGTGTGGTGCAAGCATAATAGCAACTGAACTCATTTGATACGTCTCCTGTCCCTGTCCCTGTCCCTGCTCCGTTCTCTTGCCTTGTCTCTGTCATAGTCACCCCTCTCCCTGCTTCCACTCTTCTCACGATCCCGATCCCGGTCACGGTCCTTTATCCTTTCACTTTCGAGATCATGACCTCTTTCCCGATCACGACGCAGTTCCCTATCTCTGTTCGCATCACTATCCCTCCCTCTGTCTTGGGCAGATAATTTCCTTTGAGGACTTTCACTTCTGCCTTGGCTGTGACGTTGTTTTTTTGAAGGATCACGGGAATCATCTCTTCTTTCCCTCTCTGCAGTTCATAAAATGTAAATTCAGATGAGATAACCGCAAGAATAGGAGGAATATTTATGGCAGTAAAGTCCTACTATAGGGAAATTAACGAAAATTCACATCCAGAAGACTTCCACAAAAACCCAATTTTAATGGGAAATAACAAGTCAGATGACAGAACCAAGTGTGCAACTTAGCACTTACTAGTTTAAATTTCGAGGGTCTCTCATTACATTTGGGGTAAAGAGAGTTTAGGCAAAAGACAATGACAAATTCTTGTAATAACCATTTAGTGGAATCATAGACTCTGCACAGACTCAGGTTTCATTGACCTGAACCATGTTATTCGAGTGTTAATTTACGAATCAGTTCTTCACTTTTCTTCTTGTTTTTATCCCGTTATGCAGTTTGTCACATCACAAAGCACAGCAATCTAGACAGAGTGACCATGCAGTCTCTAACTCTAATGTTTGACAGGACATCCAAGAATTCCAGAAACGGAAAGACGGATTCTACCAGACAAATTAAAGGTCATTCCAACAGCATAACCATGAAAAATTAGATGAGAAGCATAATTGATAAAATAAGACATTTTGCACATATAAAAACAGTGTAAAAGTCTCGTGCATTAAGAAACAATATATCATAATCTAAAATTTAACAATAGTATTAGCTCATCATGAATTTGATATAAACAAGCTCAAGACTTACTTCTGCCAGAAACATCTGGGTTGGAATCCAGTAAACCATATTCAGATTGTAACCGACTCCGATGGATTGCAACTTTTCTCTCAATTTCCTCAGGACTTCTTATTCCTTGCTCTTCAAGAGATTCGCGATATTCCATCAAAGCAACTTCAAGGCGCCTCAACTTTTGTCTGTAAAAATGTAGTCATGATCAAGCACCATATTATAGACAACTCTCAGAAGCCTTTGGAAATGATAGAAAATTGAAGGATATTTTTCATTTCTACTTGCTAAAACATACAAGCTCAAATACTAAATACAGCCTAACGTTTCCCGAGAATCATGGAAAGCTTAAGATACCTTCAACTTGTTTATAAACCAGCCAAAAGAAAAATTAGATACCTCCAACTCTTCTAAAATTCTAGAATAAATAATAGATCAATTGAAAGCAAGGAGCACGCAAAAAACAAAATCAACCATATAAAAACGAAATGAAAGGTTTGACAATCAATAAAAAACGTTAAGCGTGCTAATACCTCTGTTCTTCATTCATCCCACCATCAAGATGTGCTGAATTGCTTGCATCAGTAGTGAGCTCCATGTCCTCAGATTTAATGAGACCATTGCCAGCATTCTCGCTCCCAGAAGACGAATACGTCAACCCCAGATCCCGTGGACTTCTTTTCTCTTCACCGTCGCTTTCATCGTCTTCTCTTGCCCACTTGGAGGCTGGCAGGATGAATTTGTTTTCTCCTTCACTCATTAAGGAGTTGAGTTCAGGCTGTAAAATGAGATTTGATAGGGGCAAGGACGTGGATCCTCTTCCTTTAGATTGCATATCATCCTCTGTATAACTATTCCAGCCAGACACTCCCACTGGATCCAAGTCAAAATTGGTCTCTTTTGGCCCACTTGGGTATCTACCTGAACTTGACTGATTCTGTGTAGACTTCAATTGATCATCCAACTCATAACCCTTTTGCTTTTCTGCCTCCTCCAGATAAAGTAACCTAGCAACCATCATTTCTCTTCCACCGACAAGAGATAACCCATTGTGCCTGCATCGTCTCTCCAGCTCAGAAAGGGGTAGATTCAGCAACTCCTTCATGGCAGCGCCTTTACCGATTGCCAAAGCAGTATCCTGTTTAATCTTTTCCCCGTCACCATTGTCTTCAGAACTAGTCTTCCTCTCTAACTCAGGTGCATCGCCACATATAGAATGGAAAGGTATCACACCTGAGTTACCTGATCTGAGAAAGGTAGCTCGCAGTCCATTCACATATGCATCCGAAAACAGAAACCAATCAGCCCATACTTGAAGAACTTTTAGAACACGTTCCTGTAAAATTTTTAAGGCAAAGAAATCTTTACTTCAGGAGGACAAAAAAGTGGCAATATAGCAGAGGTGAGCCGTTACGTAAAATGAGCCTAACAAACATTGCTTACCTTAAGAGCCTCAGCTGACATTCGTCCTGTTATACTACGATACAAGTCATTAAAGCTTTCCATAATGTCTGGCAGAGTTGCTTCGAATTTGGTCCGGTAAGCAGAAGCATTCCTTACAGGAGCACTACTGTTGTGAAGTATATCCGAAACAAGCATAAGTCGCGCAACTTTTGTTGGAATGGGTGTTTCTTTAAGTGTCAAAGACTCGCTTAAGACTTCAACAACCTGAAATTCAAGACAGTTGCCTAAGTCAAAGAGACTCAAAATTGAATACCATACACTGCGTAAAAAAATTGGCAGTCTGGATCTGATTTTGACGAGACCTTTCAGATTAAAAAAAAAAAGGCATCTTATTGATGTTGAATGTCATTGATTTTAGAACTCAGTTAAAGTTAATATTCAGGGTCGGACATGGATCATTGTGAACGATAGCAACTAGCAATTTCAAACTTTCCCCTGAATACAGTAGAGCCAAACTTATATTAAAAAAAAAAAAAGAAGAAGAAGAAGTTAACTAAAAGAAGTCATTAGCTTTGCCATGATAATTATTGACTAAATAGAGAATACGTGATTTATTAACATCATCTTAAGCAATTACCTCTCCAGCTGCATCAGCATTGTCCAATGAGAAACCCATGGCTTCTTTAATCTGGCTTCTTTCCAATGTCAAGGCACGCAGCATGTCCTCAAATTCATCTCTTTGCACATCAGTCAGGCTTCGTTCCACCTCCACACGCTGTAAAATAATGGAATGCAGCTCTAACCATTAAAACACTTGCAAATATGAAAGCTAGTATACGACTATTAAGGTTGAAATACTATACAAACTCCAACGTACAACATAAAAGACTGGATTAGTAAGTACCCTGCCTTTCCCAGCAGCAAAAGTGCTCCCTGCCTCCTTCTCATGCTCCTGGCCTTTGGCAGTTGGTAGAGGAGGTGGTATCCATCTTTACATACAAACAGGAAAAAAATAATAAAAAATATCTACAAGGTCTATCAAATATCCATTAAGATCTATCAAATGCATTTATAAAGAGTATATATGACATCAAACTAGTGATCCCTTTGTCTCATTAGAAGATTTATTTCCCATTAGGTAGAAAAGGGGTACAAGTCCTCTTCCAAAGTCAATAGTTGAATTCCACGATTTATTCAACATTTCTTCTCATGCATGGATGCATTAACTAATTTCTCATTTTCATGATTATTTTATCCCTACTAATATAAAAGAGCCAATCCGCCATTCACTATTCATTTGTGAAGCATTTTCGTTGCCCATTTTATCCTCACCAATTAACACGTTTTCCCCTACTTTATAAACATTCTGCACCTCAAAACAAAAGGGTCATATAGACTTATTACTTGCCACAATTGTTGACTGCTTTATCCGCCGTGCACTATTCATTTCTGAAGCATTTTCA